AGGTAGAAAATATGAGATCCAATTGTGATGTGTGTATTAAGATGAAATTTTTTTTCATTCTTGATTTTTTATTGAACACATGAATGATGATTCAATAACAATACTTTACAGATCCTATTGCAATGCTTCACTAGTTTTGTTGTGTTTTCTTTTTGATCTTGATTACATTTTAGATTGTATGTCTGATCAATCCCTAGTCTTATTGTGACATATGATTAGCCCGATTCATTCATTTTGTTAACTTGTTTGTCAAAATCCTTCAAAACACGGATGTTGCATATACATTTTTTTAGTTCTATAGATGATTTTTCATTTTTTTATACAAACTGTACTTGCAAAATTTACTATTATATAATACAAATAAGAAGACTTTATTGTCCAATACAGTAATTAAACAAACATATCTTAGGCTCGAATTTCTTGGTGTTAGATTTTGGATACTTCTCTTGCTTTTCTAGTAATAAGTTGGTGTAAGCTTTATATATGAGCCTCTAACTCTATATTAGTCTAAGTTCAAGTACTTTTTTGACACTTGTCAGTTCAGTGCATTCATCATCTACATTGAGTTATTGCATAATCTTTTGATTATGATGTCTGCTTGAAAAATTGTTATGGTACAGCCAACCATATTTTTCAATTACTTTCGGTAAAAATTACTTTTGTAATCTACATTAAAGATTTTTATAATCATAGCTAAAAAGATATTGGGGACTCATTGGTGTAAGCTTTATATATGAGCCTCTGACTCTATATTAGTCTAAGTTCAAGTATTTTTTTGACACTTGTCAGTTCAGTGCATTCATCATCTACATTGAGTTATTGCATAATCTCTTGATTTTGATGTCTGCTTGAAAAACTGTTATGGTACAACCAACCATATATTTCAATTACTTGTAAAGATTACTTTCTTCATCTATATTAAAGATTTTTAAAATCATAGCTAAAAAGATATTGGGGACTCACTTTGCTTATATTTACGTGTAGAATGCACAATTATCATAAACAAGATTCAGTAGGGTTCTTTTTTAGCATAAGGTTTATTATCAATTCAAATTATTGTTGAGCATTTCAATATATTATTTCCTCTGAGGTTTTGTACATTCTGAAAGTTATATACACTAAGTATTTGTGTATGTGTATTGAATAAAACCAAACCTGTATTGAATGGTTTATTTTCTCTTTTTAGAATATTCCATTTTCTCAAGAATGTATTGAATGTGTTGGATATATATCTATTAGAAGAGTTGTCTTGAAAAATATTTAAGCATAAGTTTCTTCTGAAACTCCTTTAAATGGTTCTTTAGTGCTATTGGTGATTCATGTGGATTTGAAAATTTCCCCAACTTTGGATTAATTCACTTCAAGAATTCGTAAACCCTTGGATCTTTTATTATTTCACAGCATATATATTTGGAGTTTTGTTAAGAACTTAGTTGTTTAATCTTAAAAATTGGCATTCAATGCAGGTTCTATTTTAATTTTAGTCCAACATATGTTGGGTGAGGTCTAATTTGTACTCATATAGTCAATTGCTCTGTTCTTCTGGGAGCTATCATATCATGGGGTTTTCTTTGTTTGTTTATATCACAACAAGCAGGTGATTGGTATCCCGGTAATCTTGATAGCAATTATTTCAAAGGCCTATATGGATACAAAGTACCTTGAATAAATTATTTTGCAAACAATATTTCCTTGGAATAAATGAACTACGTTTCTCATTTATTATATACAGTTATGGCATACCTGCTATGCTAAGAACTCTATATTCCATAAACCCATTTTAAAAGTAAATTTAAATAAAAGGAAAAGAAAATGGAACAATGAGTGGCTCTATGATGATATATACTAGAAGTTACTTATAGTTCTAGTGGTTTTAATGTTTGTCTTACCTTTCAAAATGAGAAATTTACCAGTGGGTGATTCATTTTGATTTAGGTGTTAACTGACCGAGTTCTTGTCAACCTGTGTTTTCTGATATTTTTTGGGTTCCTCTAAGAGTTTTTTTTTTTTTTTCCTTGCAGTGGCTTGGCTAATTTCCACTTGGTAGTTTTGTTGTATACATGTCTTCATAGATATTTCTCTTATCCTTGTAGATGGTCTTTACAATTTGATTAAGATCATATTAGTATCTATAAAGGAAGTGTATATAAACATCCAAATCCTTCCAACGTTAATGTCAAAGGTAAGGATTATCATCTAAAATCATAAATTTTTCAATTGAAGTGATTAAATTTTATTAGGTGAAATGATGCTATAAAACAATTTAAAGTAATGCAAGATGAAAAAATCTCAACCCGATCCTGTTGTACATAATATAATCAAAATCATAGTGGAAGGATTTACAAATACTTTGCCAAATTAAATTATCCAGAGAGATGCAAGTAATTATGATTAGAGATTTTAAATATCTACCCTAACATTTTCCCGTTCATATAAATATTTGGATATATTTGTTTATTGTGTCATGTTCTAATTGATATGTTTCACATTTCTTATGTCTAAGTGAACTTGACTACTAATTTCTTATTTGACTAACTCTTAGATGAAGACAAAAGGAAAAGATTATGACAATTTGGAAATTTGGATATCGCCTCAAACACATGGACGTGGTCGTGATGATGAGATGACTGATGATATTTTGGTTTGCAAATCTGAAATACTTTGACGCTATATGAAACGATGCAGTGTTGCACGCAAATCTATGATGGTTGACTTGTTTTTTTGGATTGATACTGACTGAGTCATTTCCGTTGGTTGAACTTACATTTGTGTTGGAATTTGTATTTTTTTTTTTTTGCTATGCTTTGCTTTTCGATTGTATATATTGATCATTTTGGAAAATAGTTATATTCGTAGACAATGCATACTTGGTGCAACTAATGATGATACAAACTTGTTGTAATGTCATTTCGCAGTATTTTCTTGCATCGTATATATTTTATGGTTCCGGTACTGATTTTTTTTATTACCAAAAAAAAATAAGGATATTCTTTTTTGTTGTGAAATTTTTGTCGTTACAAATACCGGTACAAAAAACTTACGAATGTTGTTTATAATAATTTTCTGACAACCAACTTATTGTAACAAAATTTATACCATAATAAAATCCATTAGAAATATATGAATATTTAATGTAACAATTTTTTTATTACGAGAAACGTCCAGTACAATTAAACAAAAAATACATTGCTAGCGTTACAAAAATTGTTACAACAAGATTTCTCACGTGCGTTGACTACCCACTTTTTGTTACGGAAAATATCGGTACAGAGACTTTTTCTAACTCGAGTATATGCACCAGTCAAAATCCGGTACAAAATCGTTACAAATAACTTTTTATAACGAAAAATGCCCATTTATAGTGGTTTTAAAACCGCTACAAATGGTCATTTTTTTGGTAGTGCCGAAAGAGATGGTCTAATAGCATGAAAATAGAGTCGTGACTGCGGGGATGGACTTGTGACTGTAAAGTCATAGATTCAAAATAATAATAATAATAATAATTGTAATTAATTTTTTTATGATGAAAGTATAATTTTTTTGGTAAAATAATTGTTATTTATTTTTATATTTTTAAGGTAAAATTGCTTATAACTCCCCCGTGGTTTCGAAATTCAGCGTAAAATCTCCATGTACTTTAAAAATTGCATGGTACCCCCTTATACTTTTAAAAACGTTGCATGAAACCCCACAACCATGAAACTTTCCTCGTGTGATAAGAAGATGATTTCCTATCTATATGTTTTGCATGGCAGTGGGGTTTTATGCAATATTTTTGAAAGTATAAGTGAGCATCATGCAATTTTTTAAAGTAAAATAGGGATTTATGCTGAGTTTCGAAACCACAAAGTGGTTTCATACAACATTTTTTAAAGTATAAGGGGACGTCATGCAATTTTTAAAGTAGAGGGAGAATTTATACTGAGTTTCGAAACCACAAGGGAGTTATTGGCAATTTTGCCTATTTTCAAAACAAAGTTGATTACTATTACTATTATCTCCAACAATGGATACATATAGCACAACAATTATCAATAGATGTAAAGTAAAATGCTAGTTTTTTTTAGAGCAACCACAATGGTTGTCTCAAAAAAAGCCTCCAAATATTAATAAAATATGATATGTCTAGGGATTTTAAATTCAAATTATCTAAATTTTTAAAATTAACTACAATAACTTTTTTACCGTAGAAGCTTTCGGGTGAAGAAAGCGAAAGAAATAAAGAAAATAAGAAAGACGGAAGAGGAGAAAGTAAGAGAGATAACATGAGATGGAAAGAGAGAGTGAGAGGCTTAAACACGGCCACGTACACTAGGCCAATTTCAAGTCCATTTATTTTTTTCCTTCCAAAGAAGAGTCATTGCGTGAGTATTTTTCAGATTTTTGAAAAATAGCCTAATTTTCAACGTTGAGGCCTTTTACAAAAAGGCTATTGCAATTGCTCTTAATGAGTCATTTCTATGCATAAATTATATATTATACAACTATTCAAATTCAAAATTTTTATTATACAAATTTCAAAGTGAAATCGAAAATGCTAAACAAATACACCCTAAAGTAGAATTTATAAGATTTTACCATAACTTTGAAAGCATTAACTATTATCCAATATTGCCTAAGAATTACTACAAGACAAACGAAATAACAAAGAATTTGGGATTCAATTATAAGAGTATAGATGCATGCATTAATAATTGTATGTTGTTCACAGGAGATGACGCAAAACTCCATTCTGTGGGATTTGTGGGGCTAGTAGGTTCGTTGATGGAAGGCCCACTAAGGCAATGAAAAAAATGAGATACTTTCCCTTAGTGCCCCATTTACAAAGATGGTTCTTATCATCGAAAATTGCAGCTTCCATGTGCTGGCATACTGAAGGCCGTGTCAATGACGGCTTGTTAAGCCATCCGGCTGATAATGCAGCCTGAAAGAATTGTGATCATCGTCACCCATCATTTGCGTCTGACATGCACAATGTACGACTGGGGTTGGCCACTGATGGGGTTAATCTTTTCGGGAACATGAGTATGAGCTATAGATTTGGCTGAAGAGGTAATCCGTTCTCTTCTTTGTGTCTTTCCACTAGATATTTGAATATATCATTCCTAGCTATGATATCCATTCCTTATGTCTAAGCGAACTTGACTACTAGTTTCTTACTTGGCTAACTCTTAGATAAAGGCAACAGGGAAAGACCCTGACAATTCGGATATTTGGATATCATCTCGCACGAGTGGACGTGGTGGTGATGATGATATGACTGATGACATTTCGGTATGCAAACTTATCGTACCTTTTGTTGAATGGAATTGTAGTATTTTCCCTCATTATAGTTTTTATTTATTCGGAATTGTGCAGGCTTATTTGATTGATGAACTTAATAAAATTTCCACTGATAAAAGAACCTCGGCAGCACGCGAGGCTTTGTACCTCCGTGCACTCAAAGGAAAAATGAATAGAAATACGGTTGTTGATAGTGTTGCCAGCTCTGCCCACCCCAAGAGTCATTTGAGTAGAGGCCCTGATGGTCCTGACCTACGACAGCTTGCTGAGGACTATCAGAATGGCCTTATTGAGATTAGGGAATTCATGTCTGAATTTAGAACTAACCGCACTGAGATGTCTGAAATTAGAACCATCCGAGCTGAGATGTTTGCTTTGTTGAATTCTTCGTTGCATGCCTCAAAACGAGGCCTTGTAAGAACGCATATCTTATGCATTAATTAGTTTTGCATTGTACCTCTCCACGTGAGTCATGTCATTCACACTCTCCTGTCTTGCAGGGATTTAGCCGCACCGATGGACGGTTAGAGATGTCGGGGACTGATGACCACAACCCATTGATGGTTAGTCATTATTTGTTGCTAATTTTATTTGTATTTATTAATTGAATAACCATTTGCATAATAACATCCACTATTAATACATCACCATCACCTTCAAGACCATTATTAACATATGATAACATTTTTTCATGTAGATCGGGTCTCGTGTCCTTCTGATCTCTCGTGGGTTGGAAAAACGTGTTGTTGGTGAGGGGGTGCTTTTGTCTGACCCTACCCCAGCTTTGTGCTTAACTTGGTGATGTTTTCTATGTGAAATCGATTTTGGTTCCAACCGTTTTGAGTAAAACATTTTATATGGATGTTAGTGAGTCAAAATAGTTATATACATGATGTGGTGACAATGAGTTTTATATGGAAATGTAATTGGGTGACTGTTTGTTCTGTATGATCTTGTTTGGGAGCATATACGTTTATAATTAAAGATTATTGTAGATGTTGATCGGTGAATTGATTTTATCCCCAAACTGTTTGTTTTTTGTTATAATTCAAAGTGTTTGGTATTTAGATACATTTACACTCAATTAATTGTTGTTGTTAAATTGATACATGTTTAAGTTGTTTGTTTAAACAAACAGCTTTCATATGCATCAAATAAATTGATTATATTGCTAGTTGTCTTATAATTGTGATGTTGTACAGATGTTGGTCCGGGTGTCATCAAGATATGGCACATGCTATAATTATATTTATGTCGTTCTATATTTTGTTGTTTTTACATATGCTAAAATGTTTGAGTTAATTTATGTATATTTTATAGCGATTAATTACTTTATGAGTTGCATTTTGTTTCCGATGATATGCACATATTATTTTATATGTTCGTAGGTGATACCATTGACATAGTGAGGGTGTTTGTCACGCCTGCTACTATTCCGGAGGTTGCACTCATTCTGCGGATGACATCAGGAGCACAAACACTCTCTGAGGTTGTCCACGTCGAGCCAATCAACTGGACATTAAAGGATGTATGTAACCATATTTATAAGACTTTCTATTCGATTATAACTTTACTATCTCACAACTAAATTCTTATATAGATTTGCACTATGTTGGCAGCTCGTTCGTCACCCGTAACTACTGTGTACGTTCAATTTGACGTTGCGTAGGGCGTGGTTGCGTGGCATGTGATTCTATGATGATTAACTTTTGTTTGTGGATTGATGCTGACCTCCTTTCCATTGGTTGAACTTGCATTTTCTACTTTCTTTTGTGTGTTTGTTTTTATGATTTGTCGTATATATTAGGCCGAATTACAAAATAGTTATGTTCCTCGACAGGTGTACTTAGTACAACTGATATTTTATGTAATATCCTTATATTTTTCAATGTCATTTGGGAGTATTTTCTCGCATCGTACAGGTTTTTATTGAAAAAATAAGGATAATTTTTTGTTACGAAATTGTGGCCATTAAAAATACTGCTATAAAAAATTTCAATGTTGTTTTAAATAGTTTTATGACAATTAATTATTATAACGAAATTTATGCCGTAATATCTGCTGTTACAAATGGATGAACATTTAATGTAACGGTTCTTTTATTATGAGAAATATCCGCTATAAATTCATCAAAAATTCAAAGCTTGTGCTACAAAAACCGTTACAATAAGTGCTTTATACGTGCGTTGACCGTCAACTTTTTGTAACAAAAAAAATCGGTACAGAGACTTTTTGTAGCTCGAGCATATGTACTGGTCAAAATCCGATACAAAAATCATTAAAAATAGTTTTTTTATAACAAAAAAAAAGTCATTTGTAGCGGTTTGGCCATTTTTTTGGTAGTGTGGTGATACCAATTGTGTAAATCCAATTTACTAAATATCACAGCATGCTTCAATTGATCAAAAAGGTCCGTAAGGAAGAGAAGCTCCGGGAATCAGATCAATTTTATGTTGAATATCCTGAAGAGGTGGTAAGCCCTCCAGTAGGGCATCAGAAAATACATCACAAAACTTCTCAATAATAGACAATGCTGCAGAAGAAATATCAGAGGACTCACAGACATCATGCTCGAGTAATAAGAGCATAAAAGGAGCTGCAAACATTTCCTCAAAAGATGTAGCATAATTCAGAAAAAAGAACCTTAGCAGGAGAAATCGGAATTTGAAGATTTCAGAACAGACGGCAATAGTACAATCTTAACGCCAAAAAAAAAATAAAGTTGTAAGTATTTTTACGGCCATCATGGAGCACACTGTGGTCAAACTGCCAAGGTTGACCAAGAAAGACATGACACGCATCCGTGGAGACTACATCACACCAAATAGAGTCCACATACATCTCTCTTACAGAAAATTTAACCAGGACTCATTTATCCACATGACAAGATTACCATGTTTCAACCACGACAAATTATAAAGGTAAGGGTGGGATTCATAGGGGAAAGACAGTTTCTCCACTGCAGATTTGGCAATGACGTTCTCACAAGAGTCATAACTAACAATAAAAGAACAAATTTTGCCATTAACTATGCACGTAGAATAAAATAATGTATGCGGTTGTACCTCATTAATCGGACCTTTGGGAGGAAGGCATGATTTGCTCACAAGCAGAGATAGGCTTGTGTCACCAGTAAGGAAAATTGCAGGACATAATCTTCTAAAATGGCGTCAAAAGTGAGTTGGGTGTCGGTTGAAATCTCAGAATCGGCAATGAAAAGCCCACATCAATCTTTGGCCAAATTCACCACACCCAAAACACGAACTGCGAGCAGGCCCTCTAGGGTGCCGTCGAGTAGAGGGGTTGGGCATCGGATGGATTCAATGAAGCTAACGGCTCTGCAGATTTTGAAGATGCAGGTGCGGGTGACGGTGACGGTGGCATGATGGTGCGCAACGAACATCCCACTAGTTGATGTTCAAATAACAAGGCTCGCTGGTATACTTAAGAGACAGGTTCTGGTGAGAACATGTTTAGGGTATCCTGGAAGTTAACCCATAAAGCACTGATGTATCGAAAAAACAATTGATCTTTGGATTCATTCAACTCAATTCGAAAAATTAATTGGTAGAATTCCTCTGTGTAGGCATCGATTATGCGCGTCCGCTGGCGTAAATTTTGCAATTTCTGAAATAGGGTGCGTGAGTAATTATAAGACAGAAATTCAGTCCGCATATGCTTGGTGAATTTTTCCTAAGAGACGATCTTGGATTTTCCACGTGTGCGAGACCTTCAATTAATGCCACCAATATGCTGCCTGGCCATGAAAACGGGTGGCGACAAGAGCCACCCTACGATCCGCAGGGACATCCTTGAAGTCAAGGACTTTTTCCACCGAGAGAAGCCAATCGAGGAAGTCGTCAGGTTGTAATCCAACATTGAATTCAGGGAGTCAAGTTTGAAACTATTTTGCCACTTGCGCTAGGAGTCGACATGACGATATTCGCGGCCTACAAAGGTAGCAAATGAGTTGTCGAGTGTAACTCATCATTGGATGATGGCGCGTCAAACGGGAGAGAAGACTGATTGTGGTCGCACTAGTCGCGACATGGGGGAGGATGTTCAACCTCCGGTGGAGGTTGGGCGCACTCAGCCTGATGTTAAAACAATTTAACAACGGTTTTGAATTGTTGTATTAATTCATCCAATCTATCCACAATTGTAGTGTCACGAGGGGGTTTGTGTCAAGGCTGAATGGCGGATTGTAAACCTTGGCAACGTGATACCAGATGATGCAAGGAAGCGTATAGACTAAGGGTGAATTTCAATTCAAAGAATAAACACCCTATATTTTTTTATTATCAATCTTCCAACCCTAACAATGAATGTTTTTAGGGTATAAATACTAAAGAAAATGCAAACAAGACCAATAACAAAAGTCCAACATATTTGGATGCATCATAAAATAAAAGATTTAAATATTATATAATTACAATTTTTACATAGTTGGATTGATATTCTCTAAATATTGAATTGCAGCTTTATATCCATTAAATTGTTAGTTGGTTCGATTTGTTGGTTTGACTAGTTGAATATATTAGTTATTTGTGATATTAGTTGTTTATACGTGTAAAATGACAATTGAAAATATTTTATATTTTATTTTTAAAATATTTAGATACGTATTTAGAATTTTTTTAGAAAAATTACTATTAGTTATTAAAACTGTAAAAATTTCATTAAAATAATTGCTTTTGTTATTTCCAAATATTTACTATAAAAATTAATGCATTTTTATTGAAAAATATGAGCATTCTTTTTTTTTTATCATTAAAAATTATGGCTCTGTTCACCAGCGTTTTTTTATGGATTATTTTATGTGTATGGTACGAGGAAATTTGTTAAAAATATAAAATATATTATTTTAAGTTAAATATTTGATATTTTTACTTTTTTAACGATTATTTGGATTCTTTTTTATTTTTTGACTTTTATATGAAGTAGTTTATATTTTTTAATACTCTCTTTGTCCACATATGACCATTTTTCTTTTTTCTTCGATCCCATAAAAAATAATCTATTTCTATTTTTAGTAAATTTATTCATTTTAAACATATTTAATAAATATAAATTAATTTAATTAAATTTCTAACCTCTTACACGTACCTACTCAAAACTTCCTTATTTATATATCTCTTCTAAGAAAAAAACAATTATCTATATTTAAAGCTTCTTATTTTTTTTTTAAAATTAGTTTTAATTTAATTATAAATAAATAAATATTTTTTTTATTTGTTTTATATAAAATTCTATTATCTACAAAATGATATTCATATTATATATTTTATTAAGATATAAGGTTAAACATATTTAAAATATCAATAACAATACTTATATAAAAAATAATAAAATAATATCATAACTTATTATTAATTTATTAATCTACACTACCTAAAATATTATGTTTCTAAATAAATAGATCATCTTGACACGAACGGAAGATGAAGTATTATTTTTTAAGAATCGAAATTAAGTTGGGTGAACAAAACGATTAATGTAAAATATAAAAGACTAAATCATTCATATATATGTTTTTTATTAGACTATTTTTTTATTAATTAATAATTTTATTAAATTTATAATTTTAAAAATAAATTTATTCTAATATATTCAACTTTAAAAAAAAAAACTTATGTGATAAAAAATATATATATTAAAGATATAAATAATTTTTATTTTATCTTTATTTTAACAAATTTTAAAATTTTACATATAATATAATTTACATATAAAAAATTAATATTTTCAATTAAATTAAATTTATAAATTAATAGAAAAATATATATTAAAATAATTAATAAAATAATGCAAATATAACATAAACTTAGATATAAAAAACAAAAATTATGATTTCAACTACATTAAAATTATAAAAGTAAATTTCTAAATTAACAGAAAAAAATATATATTAAAATACTTAATAAATTTTAATATTAATAATTTTAATTACATTAAGGGTGTGTTTGTTTGGGGGATTGGATTTTCAATCCACTGTTCATCTCATTTTTCTCCAAAAGACATCAAATCAAACCTATTTTTTATTTTTTATATTATAATAAAAATCAATTTTACATTCAAAACATTACATCAACACTTATTTATATCACATCATACAACTATTTAAATTCAAAATTTTTACTATTCAAATTTCAACTCAAAATCCAAATCCCCCAAACAAACACACCCTAAATTTATAAGTTAATAGGAAAATATATATTAAAGTAATTAGTAAATAATTCAAATATAACATATTCTACATATAAAAAAAGTAATAATATCAATTACATTATATTTATAAGTTAATAGAAAATTTTACATTTAAATAATTAATAAATTTTACATATAACATAATTTACATATATAAAAAATTAATAATTTCTATTACATAGTGAAAATCAAACCCCTAACTATTAGTTGGGAGGCGGAGGGCTTTGCCATTAGACTACATCTTTATTCACATTAAATTTCATCGATTTATTTTTAATGTAAGATAATTATTTTATATTGAAAATACTGAAATTTATGACATTTTTCTTTTTAGAGTAGGTCAGGGTGGCAATTTGGTAAGTTCGATTTTTTTTTTCTTTTTTGTGCCGAGGTAACTTGATCTGATTTTGAATTGTGTTGAGCCGGCACCACCTGGTTTCAAATCCGACTAAATAAAAATTTTACCATTAAATCATATCTTGATTTTTGTCACTATTTCATTAGTTACTATGTATGTATATATATACATATATTAAATTTCAAATATTAAATTTCAAATATTAAATTTAATAAATTGGGTC